TACGTCCAGATTCAACTTTTGGGAATCTCTCCCAGACTCCCAAATTCCTGATGGAAGACAGAGACTGGAGATATCTATGTGCCCATATTAGGTCGTGTTTATAGTTCCACCTACTGTCAAAAAGCTTCTAATCATGATCCAATCTATGCAACATTTTAATTGATGGTTCCACTCGATATGTAGCAGTATGTCATATAGTTAGTGGGTATTCTATATTGCCACCTAGTGGGCACAGAAGGTAAATGGTCAGTTGTAAACAGACCGTCTCTTATCTTAGCGCTTTTCTGCTCCAAGCACTCAAAGAGCAGTCAGTGAGGAAGTGATGTGACACTGAATCAGCCATGTGACTGTGTGACTCACCCTGCAGCACGCTGGCTGTTCCCAGGGTGCGAGGGCCTTTCATTGCTGCTTTAAATGTCATAATTTTGTTGGCGTCTGTCAAAACATGGATAGAAGGAGTTCTGTCGACTTCTTACTGGCCATGTCATATATTTCTATTGAGGAGAAGTTAACTTTGAAATAAGTATTTCTCATTTTATCAGACCTGTTTAAAACAATCACCTGTGCGATCAGTTGGGTATTTGCTGAAGGTGAGAGGACCACATGTCACCAGGCAACAGGAAGATACAGGTCAGAGGTTAGAGATTTCACAGAGCCAGGGACAAGGGGAGGGAGGGGGGGGATTTCCTGTTTCACTCACTCATAGACAAAGCAAAGCTCTACATTCATCCGTGTAAAAACAAAGTCTTCATTAAGCAAAACACTGAAACACTGACTGTGACAACTGGAGCAAATAAACCCAACCAATAGTGTCCATTCTTCAGTCTTCTTGGTTTTAAACGAGACGCTCATTTTATCTTCAGTGTAGATACTGACCGGTACAGTTAGAGAGTTTTCACAAGTGAAGTGAAAATGAACGTTTGCGCTCTCTCTCAAACTCACTTTGACATACATATATGTGTAAATATTAAAAAAATGTCCCCTTCTCGCCCCTGCGGGCGGTTTATCAAGCTCGGGTCTTCTACCAGAGGCCTGCGCAGTATCTTAGCTGTTCCCAGGACTGCGCTCTTCTGGACAGAGATCTCCGATGTTGTTCCCGGGATCTGCTGGAGCCACTCGCCTAGCTTGGGAGTCACCGCACCGAGTGCTCCGATTACCACGGGGACCACCGTCACCTTCACATCTTCTCTGAGCCCTTGGTATTACTCCAGCTTCTCGTGTTCCTTCTTCCTGATGTTGTTGTCATTCACTATCGCTACATCAATCACTACGGCCGTTTTCTTCTGCTTGTCCAACACTACAATGTCCGGTTGGTTAGCCATCTGTATCTGGAAGCCCCACAGGACCTTAGGTCGGCCATTCTCCACCAGCCTAGGGGGCGTCTCCCATTTTCCCCTCGGGACTTCCAGATTAAGGTTCGCCCATGCAGAAGTAGGTTGGAAGGCAATAACAGAGAAACCCAGGATTGGGTTTAGTCAATGAACTGAGGTGCGGGATAATCCATAATCTGGAGACTCTGCTCAGTGAAACTATGATTCTCCTGCTGCCTGGTTCTTCATGTGTCCATAACCCACCCCAGACAACCCACTCAGTCAACAATAGTTCAGTTTTCTCTAACTACAGTCTGTTAGCAGCTATGACATTCTCATTTTCACATGTCATAGTACCAATTAAGTGCTGACAACTCAATGCCCAATAATAACAGTCAGTATCTTCATGCATCCTGACTAAATGTTAAAACAAAGAGGCAACCAGGACACTAACTGATGAGTTTAATTTCTCTAATTGTTACAGTCCGTTTCAGTGTTTTGCTCACAAAAACCCCCAAAACACACAAGTAACTGGCCATATTCACACAGACTTTGTTTTTACATGCATGCTCACTCCAAAATATAAATGTAAATAATCTGTTACTAATCCAGTCTTGCTTTTAAACCGTGTGGTATCAGAGGCCACTCTCAGTTTTCAATAACAGGACTCAGCTTCTCAGCGTGCTAAAGTTTCCATCCAGCCACACAGAAACGTATTTTTCATGCATTCCTCAAATTCCACATCTGATACGTGTACATGCTACTCTGAGTTGTAATGACAGTGAAGGAAAAAATTATCTTTAGCCTCAATCATGGCATTCACTAAGTTTCCTGAGCTTTAGGTAATCCCTCTAAACTTTAAGCAGAAATCAAGCGTGGAGGTCAGTGTAAAATAGAAAGGTCACTGAATGTCTGTAGGTCTATACCAATGAGGTTCATCCCACATTTCAACTTCCTCCATTCTCTGTAGATTCTATTTGTATTATAGCCAAATCCAAGTCTAGTATTACTCAAATTTTCTTTGGCCTTTCTGGGAATCTGTGGCCAAAACTTGCAATTAATTCTTCAGACGAGTCATCAAACCTCAAATCATTTTTTAGTAAAGAGAAAAGAGAAGACTTTAAAAACAAAAACAAACCTGTGGAAGCGAGCATTGTCAGCTTCATACACACAAAAACTGTGAAGCTGGATTTTACAGTGCTTAAAGTTAAAATGTATTAAATCTGTTCAGCGCCATCTTCTTCCAGTACACAGTGTTACGTCACTGGGTTGGTTGGTTTCGGTCATTACCAGTTAGGTAACATAAACTAATGTAACCGACCCAATAGCTCAGCGGAAGGAAAATTAAAGATTCATTTAAGGGGCTTACTTTGCTGCAACATTTTCATATTAAGACCAAGGACATACTGTCCACGTTCACTCTCTCTTAACCAGTAAGTGTTGTTGTTGTGTAGCTAGTTGCACTGATACGGGAAAATCCCCCTGTTGGCTGTAACATTCAGGTTTGTAAAGCACTTTAGAAATGAGAAAAGTGTGGAGAAGGGCCTGTTTGAGTTAGCTGACAAGTGGTTCACCCACATGCTGGAGTCAGAAACTCCACGTTTTCCTGGTCTGTGATGCTGTAAACAGTTTACCGATCAGGAATCCCATCAGTACGTCTGCAGGGAAAATAGGTCGTGTGTGCGCAACGGGGAGGAAACAAAAACCCCAAGACAGTCCAAGGAACAGGCGCCACACTTTTTTCATGTCAGTGTTTAAAAGTTTAACTTTAATCTGTCAGAAAAACAAAAACAACTCATTCCTTTCATTGGATTTATATGTCAAACTGAAACTCAATGTTTTTAAAGTAAACATCTCAAGTCAAACTCAGCTAAATAAGATGTATAAGAAATGTGCCTTGACTCTGTCTTCTATATTTTTAAATATCAAAGCAATTTAATTAAGACTTTATATTATTTCTCCTTCAATCTGAAAAATGTTACGACAACCTTGAAATAAATATGGTCTAGTACACCCCACGCCCCCCTTTAGTTGCAGCCCTGTTTGCTGCAGGTATGCTTCGATGTAAAATATCTTCAGCAAACGATATAATTGAAACATGTATCAGACTAGGTTAACAGTTCATCTGCATATTTAAATACTTCTGGAGGATTACTGGTTGGAGCAGCGACAAAGTTTGTTTTTCTTCATGTCCCAGTTTGTTGGTGCTTTGATGAAAGACTCCCACCAGCTTTTTCCCAGTAAAGGTTTTAATTGTGGTGACAGGAACAGACGCTCACCTGAGACTGAACGTGAACAGTGCATCCTTCATTTGAACATCAATGTCACTGTTGCAGCCAAAGTCAGTACAAAGTGAAACCCTTTAATGGATTTTTAGTTTAAGTCTCATTATATTGGTTCAGTTATTAGTTTATATCAACTAATTAAAGTCTATCAGCAGCAACCAACCAGCCAACCAAACGTTACTTAGATGTAATGTTCTGTGCTGACAGGAGATGGCGCTAAACACGTTTCTAAAACTTTAAATCGAGCTTCACAGACAGAGTTACATCTATGTAGGGCTCCATGACGTCAATTAGTCATTATACATGATGTGTTTCATGTCCATTTTAATCCAGTACTAGAAAACTGAGCCCAAATACCTACCTTCATGTGCGGTCTTCTTTATTTTATGTACGTTGCTTCATTTTCTAAATGGAAAAAAAGATAAAGAGCCTAGAAACCCAAACCCCGTACAGGTCACTGGTCTATCAGGTCAGGACTGGTCAGGACTAACCCTACAAAAATACGTGTGTCAGTTGTTTTGAAAATTAAACATCCCAACAACTAAGCAATGAAACAGTAACATGAACACTTTTTGTGAGTGTAATAAAAGTCACTGAAGTTCCTGAAATTTGGCCCAGTTCAGGAGAAATTGTAACAACACCCCACCCACCACCACCAAAAGTTACAACATACTTGTGGATTCTTCTGTCAGCTGTAATCCTCACAAATAAAGAGAACTGAGGTGAAACAAGCCAAAAATAAGGAATTGCTAAACCTGAACTTTCCACTCCTAACACACAAACTGCAAAGTCAGAGTCCAACGGAACCTTCCGTCCAGTCTCGGGCAGAAGATGAGTGGAACATCAGGAGGTCATCAGTGATGCCTTTTATATGAGACACATCTGTGTGGACCAGGCACGAGTACTGTGACACTTAAGTCCAATAGATACTGTACACGAGTGTGCTGCTGAAAAATGTCAGCAGCTAAGCTTATTCGCTTCAGACTCGACAGCAAAGACTCCATATTAGAGAAAACCTGATAGGCTGTGACATGTCCGAGGCAGGGCCACTGACGATCAGCAGAACTTTATCTGCTGCACTCCCCATTTGTAACAAACTTTAACGGGTCACATCATTTCCTATTACGTTTCCAGTTTTTCCTTCTCTTTTGGTGTCGTGGAAGCGCTTCAGTACGACAAAGAACAAACCCGAATCCTAAAGACAGAGCTGTTTGGTCCAGCTAAGGAAAGAGAGCGGTGCGGTGCCCAACGCGCTACGTGGATATTTGTGGTTTATCAACGAAGCAGATAAAAAGCCCGTTTAGTTAGTAAACAAAGAGGTGCTGGACTCACGCTGACACTGTGGCAAAATGGAAAACACGCCAAACCAGCACTCATCAAACTAATCACCCGCGGCGCTCCTTACCTGTGATAATCTCCCGCTTGCCTTCATCCAGGTGACTAGAAATCACATCCCCCATGATCAGTGAAGCGTCCCACGCGAACGCTGCGTCAGACCGACAACTACTTTTTAAGACAAACAATAAAGTCTATAGAGACGTGTCTCCTGCCACAGCAGCCCTGTCCGCTCATGAAATGACTGCAGCGTCAGTAATAACGGGTGGTACCAAACACTCAAGTCGAAGCTGTCGAAAGGAAGTTCAAACTGTGTAAGAACTGTGCGTTTTTCTCTCGGACAGACACACCCTCCTAAGTAGGAGGAGAACTTCTGCCGTGCAGCCACGTTACGTTAAAATCTCGTTGGGAAACAGCAGACCCAGCGCTGTGGGACAGGGAAGGTTATTATAGAGCAGCTGGACAATGGAGACGAAGTCAAAGCAGTAAAAAAGAAGATACAATGGCAAGAGAGAGAGAGAGAGCTGGTCACACAGGTTTAAATAACACACTAAAGAAGATGAATAAGCACGAGACAGGGGATTATGCATTTTGTGGACAGGAGGAGACATTTGAACGTGTGATGTTAGAATGCGCTGAATACAGGCAAATACTCACATTACAGAAAAGCAGAGTTCAGTTAAGGGTGCACGAAATATTACAAAGGAACGCAGGGCGATATTTGGGTTTTTAAGAGCAAGTGGTGTTTATATGAGAATATAGATGTATAAACTGACTGAGCCACACTCCAGTCCAGAAGGTGGCGGTAATGCACCTTGTTCGCCAACCGCAGCAAATAGCGACCACAGGGCTGTAGCCATGATACAAAGAAATCTTGAGGCCAACACAATCACCATTATTATTTTCCTTTTCCTTCACCTCGATGGAAAACATCATAAGATCAAGAAAAGCTTCGAAGGATAATTGTTTCTGTAATTTTACACTGTTTTTGTTGATTAACAAACGTTTCCATCATTAATGTTTGATGGAAGATGGAAGAAGAAGGAAAACAGCAAAATGATAAATTACAGTTTTATTACAAAATGAGTTTGAAGAATTCATGTTCCTGCCTCTAAAACTATATTAAAATTACTGTCGTTAAATATCATTTCGGCCCACAGGATCTTAGCTCGGCCACTTCACCACGCTGGGGGGCGTCTCCTATTTTGACCTCAGGACTCCCATATTCCCATATCCCCTCCATATTCGCCACAGATGTTTCTGTATACTATGCTGGACACTTGGTTATGGCGTTCCAGTTCCTGTGCTGCCATGATTAGTGCCTCTGTGCTGTCTTTCAGTCCAGCTTTGTCCAGCCTGGTAGGATTTCTGGATATCAGCCACCTCCTCTATCTGCCGGTGGTACATACCGTGCAGGGGCCTGTCCTTCCATGATGGTTCCTCCTCTTCCTCCTCATTCCTGGGTTTCTGCTGCCTGAGGTATTCACTGAGCACGCGGTCGGTTGGGCTCATCTTCCTGATGTATTCGTGGATGTTTGTTGTCTCGTCCTGGACTGTGGTGCTGACACTCACCCGGCCTCCTTCCTTCCACTTAGCGTACAGCCTCAGGGTGCTGCTTGGGGTGACCCGTGGCACATTACGCACATGGACATAAATACGTATTTCTTACTTGTCGGTGCTGCGTACTACACAATAACATTCAATATTTAGTATTTACTGTTAGTTACAGTTATCTAGGTTATTGCTGTGGTGTCATGTTTAGTGTGTTTATTGTGTTGCTCTCTTTTGCTTGTTTTTGTTTCCTTGTTTTTTATGTATTCTCTTACGGTCCTTCTTCCCCTCTGTTTTTCTTTCTCTCTCCCTTTCTTATCCCCCAGTCATGTCTGTCCCGTCTGTAACAACTTGAAATAAAATAAAAGAAATAATAATAATAACAAAGGTCAACCAAATGGACCAATATGGCAAGGCTGTGATGATCCACTTGGTAGAGTAAATCAGTTGGGCATCTTTCTTGGCCGTCAGACAATAATTCTGATGGCTAAAGATCCAAACGGGACAGGCAAAAAAACCAAATTGATAAAACGTGTAAAAGGAAGATGTCCAGCGATAAAACAGACAGGCTTTCCTTCTTTCCTTCTTACACAAGAAATATCTTGTAACTCACCAATCTCATGGACTCACGCTCAAAGAAACCACATAAACTTCCCCTAAGCAAACTAATGTGTACACTTGTGTCTGCATTCATATTTTGTTAAATGCGAACAAAATGATGGCAGAAGCGCTGCCAAGTGTCTGCACAGACAGAGAGGCTTCAGTTAAGAGGGAAGAAAAAGAATCTGTGTTCACGTTCAATACTTGAATTTTAAAAAACAAACAAAACATTTTCAGAAACATTTGTGGATGTTTGTTTGTTTGTTTGTTTGTTTGTTTGTTTGTGTTACTTGAACACTAAAGTGGCCCTCCAATGAGACGACAGTGCCAGCAGCGGCCCACAGCTCATTTGACCCCTGATTTTAGACTATATTTTTCACTACACCAACAATTGATAAATATCTTCTACAAACACGTTTCGAAAAATCTGAGACAACATAACAGCGATACTGGAAAAGCTACATTACTGAAGGTGAGTGAAACATTTGGTTCAGGTTGGTTAGCACAGTAGAAAATTTACAAATAAAAACAAAACAAATAAACAATAAAAAGTGTCGTAAAATGATTTGTTTTTCAAAATAAAACATTTTACTCTCCTCTGTCCTTCTGGCTCACATTTGTGGATATTTGAACTCACAAGTTAAATGTATATTCTGCAGCATCTCTACTATTCCGCGTAACTCTGCACTGAGTACGCGTGAGAGCGTTGACTTGTCTTCTGCTGCCCTCGCGTGGACACCAAACAGCGTCTAAGTGCGCCATCATACCATAATCATCTCAGTAACTCTTGATGTACATTAGATATAAACTCACATTATATATACCTAATACTGATTTATTATCCCCGATCCATTATTTCATTTTCATGTAAGGGCTCATAATCGAGGCGCGGACGAGGCTTTCCAGAGTTTCAAAATAAAAGTACTTAAATTTCAGTCTGTGGGAAATTGACAATTTAGGGACAAAACTTGACCTGATAATCTAGATTTTTTACATCCACAAGTAAAACACCTACTTTACATTTTTCATAATAACACTAATAATGATAATAATAATAATATATTGCCTGGTTTGCAATATAGCCCCTTTAAGTCAAAAGTGTCCAAACAGATTACACTTATGTTGCAGTTCAGTGCAGCGAACTTCAGCGTTTTCTGCTCATCACATCTTTTTGACCATTTTCATGTTAGTTTCACTCCTGTAAGCTATTTGGTGGAGCAACCTAGAGCTTACAGGATATCACATTTTCAGTTTACTTTATTCTACCTATTCCAAAATCTAGGATGAAGGAGGAGTTGTTGATATGTATTAGTTGACTTACTTTAGAACACTTGCTATTCAGTATTTTGTTAAAGGGAAACCAGGAAACCAGCTCGCCTGCATGATTTGACTTGAAACCTCAGGAGAGGTTCTCTCTCTCCCGTTTAGCCTGTTTTGCTATGCTCGCCTAACTGGAGGCTTTTATTTTGAATTTAACTGGAACGACTGGGTGTTACTTACTATGATGAGCTTTACAGTAGTAATAGCTCCACTCGGTTTTCTTTGGAGAGCAGGACGCGCACTGACGGGATCATCATGGCACCGCTGGGACTAAAAGCCATTGTTGGAGAAAGTAAAAAATTTTTTATTCTTATTTAATTCTTATTTTTATTCTGATTGTTGTTGTAACGTGGGGCCGAGCTGCTCCTTACTTTTTATTAATGAAATGTTGGTGCGCTAAGACGCACGGAATCACTGGAGCAAAGCATCTGCTCATAACATCTGAAGTGTCGCAGGCAGTGAATTAATTGCACTATTCGCTGGTGTTCTGCTAAATTCTGCCGTTATTGCCCGTTATTGTGTTGTCAGTGTAAAAGCATGGAGCCCAGGTCCGATGTAAATCCGGTCGCGCTAATCTTTGTGCGGATTAAATGCTTTGACATAATTCTCTGGGGAAGACCAGAGGTGGAGGAGGACAGATCCGACTCTGGCTGCCTCAATAACCGAAGAAGCCTTAGTTTATACTGCCTTTACTATCCCAGACCTGTTTCTTCCCCTCGTGCATTGATTCCACGGTAGTTGTGAGCACAGTTTGGTAATTCCAAACTGTGCTCACTGATTTTCGATTTGTGTTAGTTGCGCTTAATAAATCGCACCAGCGCATCTTTAGACTTCCAAAAACAGCACGCACCCAAACGGCTAAAGGGAGGTTCAGTGAACTTGGCAGTGATGCGCCTTCACTAACTCATTGAGTAACCATATTAATAAAACTGGTTACAACCTATCAAGCCTTTGGATAGTGACTGTGCAAGTTATTGAAATACTGTCACAATTTAAATACATGTTAGCAGTGACATGGCCGTACACGGACAGGAAAGGTCTGACATTTACTCTAGACCAGTATAACAGCTCTATGCAGATCATATTTCCATTTAAAGGCAGAGATTTAGGCTATTTAAAGGATGTTGAAGAAATTCATCAAAGAAAATCAAAAATCAGACAGTTGCTGTCAAACAGTCGTATTGTTTAGATTGTGATGGAAATGAGACAGCTATGCTGGAAAACAACCGAAAATCAAGTGTTATTTAAAAACAAAATCACAAGGTAACAATCGCTCAGAAAAATACTAATGCAATACTGTAAAGTACTTAAATCCTAAGAAAAGTCGTTGGATGAAAGCACAGGTGTAGGCGTCACGATATTTACGACACAAAGACTCGTCCCCTGCTCTCATGAGCATCCCCTGAAAATCGTCTATGTCGAGTTTCATTGGGTGGAAATTTCATGTTTTAAACCTTGAAATCTATGCAGAGAATTAGACAGCTGTAAGCATGTAATGCTCACAGCTGCCTTGGTTGAGGATCCTCAGAGAAAATAATGGTAACATTGAGCTGCACACATGCTTCAACAGAAGAAAACAAAGTATTCACATTACAGTGCATTCATGCTCTCATCTGAGAATGCGTCGTGATCACAGAGACTGTCTGCGAGTCCAGAAACTTCCAGGTGAATCTGAGCAGTGAAGGGTCACATCAGAATGAATGATAGTGAGGCTGTGATGTCAGAGGGAGTGCCCAACAGGTTATCTGTCTGCAGACCAAAGTCATGACCATAGATGAGGGATTTAGTTTATGTTGCCCAAACATCAAAACGTTGTCTCTCATGAACACACTGTACAACATGATGACAGTGTTTGTCAGGAAAGAGAATAGTGAATAGGAGAGCTAGAACTGAAGCAACAGCCGACTGTGCCTGCTGCCTGTCAGGCGGTGCTCCGTTCTTCCACAGGCACTTACACCTAATCCAGCGGACTAATTGGATAAACAGGACTATTCACTGACTTCACTGTAGTGTGTCTCTGACAATAGCTTTTCTCGTCATGTAGCTTGGTCTACCTGATAAAGGTGTATCGGCTCATCGAGGTGTTGTGTCACAAATAATGTGCCTAAATCGATCATTTACAGTTATTGTAAATTCCTGCATGAGATGGCTGGCCTCACTGTGTGACTGTCATGTCACTGCAATGTGCTTATGTCAGCTGAACAGCAGCTCTTCAAGCTTAACGATACCTTTTGGAGGAACATGATATGTAGACTTATTTTGGAGAGCAAGTGTTTGTGTTTATCAGTGTGTGTGTGTGTGTGTGCGCACACTGATGCAGCCATGTATGCTGCTTTCCTGTGATGTCACGTCCGCTGACACAGAAATAGCTGTGGGCAGTAGGGAGTAGTGGATGGGGTAAGAGGATTGGGAGCAGATTAGAGGCAACAATTGCAGTGGGCCTGTCTCTCAGTCTCTCCGTGCTCATTCTCACATCCTGGACATGTGCTTAAATCCCCAATAAGGGAAACCTTGACACATTTTAACAGAATATTGGGAAATACTAGATTTGCTCTGCTTAAAAAACAATAAAAGAAAAAAGAATGAACTAATATCTTTTAGAAATGTCTCTTTGTGTTACTCTGTCTCTGTGAAAACAGTATTTTTTCCCTTCCTAGTTCTCTAGTGTTTTGCAAATTCTTCATAACGAAATATTTTAAATTGTCAAACATTCGATTTTAATACCAGACAAAAACAAACTGGGCAAAGAAGAAAACTAAACTTTAACAGAACCTGAATCCAAAGATTAACAAACATACAAAACTAGAAAGACTATTGAACTCAAACCACGACAGCTGCGCCAGAAGCTTGGACGCTTATGATTCACCAAATGTAACCAGTCGTTCTTCAGCCCATGTCATTGGTCTGCAAATATGGAAATAACTTTGAAGTCTAATCAGTGTATTGTTCATACATGTTGCACTGCTATTATTTTCTATTTTATGGTTAAATTGTTATAATTTGTAATTAAAATTAGACACAAGCTCTGAAAAAGGATTTATGTTACAAATTTGACATCCACACAGCCAAACATGTAAAATCACTGACGTCAGTTCAGTGCTTACATTTCTGTGGGAGATCTCCTGAGCTGTGACCATTGTGAAAGTTCAAGTATCAAACCTGATTCAAACAGAAGATTCGCTGTTATGCATCTATCGGCGTAAGTGTTTGCATGATAATCAAAATGCTGTTTGAATGTGGCTTAGACTGCTCAGAGTTGAAAAGTCCAATAAAAGTATCCAAAGTACATTAACCAATCAGGTGAGGGGACAGGTGGCTGCACACATGTCAGCAGCATCCTCGCAGTGAATGCACCAAGGTGAAATAATAAGCTTTGCTGCAATTTGGCAAAGTCTGGTGTCAAATGAATAGTTTCTGATTTATACCTGCTACAAGAGTATTAAAAATCTTCTGACCGAGAGCAAAATAAAAGCATCTGTGATGCCTGAATAGAACTAAAATTCAGCTTTGAATGGCTCCTTGCATTATTCCTGAGGTGGCAGCAGCACGTCTGTGACCATGTTTGTGTGTTTCTCAAAGATGAGATTAGAGTGGAAAATTACCCCCAACTGATTTTACATGTGTACATAAAAGACCTGTAGAGGACTTGATGCCCGATGTAGCTTTTCTGAACCAATAATAACAGTTTTTGTTTCATCTTAGTTTAACTTCAGGACCTTTGCACACATCTGTTAGACAGTGTATAGAGTGGGAAAGGTTTGCTCAATCAGTGGCTCTCACTGGAATGCAGAGCTGCCATCAGCACAGCAGTCTTATTAAATGTCATATGCCAGTATAATGTGACCTAGTGGTAGCATATACAGTGTAGACCTTTGGGGGACTCCGCTGCATAATATGGAAAAACATACAAAATATGATTTAAACGACTGCAGAGCTGTCGTAGATATACCAACCCAGTGCTACAGCCTCACTATGAAACTGTAATGATCCACTATATTAAATGCTACACTTGGGTCACATAGTACAAGAACAGAACATTCATCAGTATTGCTGCAACACAGTGAGCTATGATATCACCCTAACAAGCACAGTCTCAGGACTGTCCAAACCCTGACTGAGATGTTGTTCTGACTGCATGTTTCAGAAGGCTGAAGACAGTTATAATAGATAAGATAAGATAAGATAAGATAAGCTTTCTTAGTCCCACACGTGGGAAATTTGTTTTGTCACAGCAGGAAGTGGACAGTGCAAAAGTTATATAGCAAAAATTAGAATACAATAAGAATAATAGACTGTACACAACTGTACAGAAGAGAATAGAATAAAATAAAATACAATATACAGTAGAATAAAATAGAATAAAATATACAATAGGATAAAAATAGAATACAAATTCTATATACAACTGAGTAAAAATACAACTGAGGTCACTTTTATAGCATGTGGACTGTAATCGTAGCAGTCAAGGATGAAAACATCACTGAGAAGTTATGGGAAAAATATTATCAATAAAACAAGCAAGAGTTAGAATTTTTTATTTGATTTGATTCATTTTATTCTTTAAAAAAGTTTAGAAACTTTAATCTTAACGTGATCATCAAAGCTTTCATCTCTTGGTGATGTATATGATGATGATTCATCTTCATCCATCCAGTTCCAGTCTGCAGGATTGTCTTTTAAGAATGTGAATGTCTTTATTGATCCAGGCCACCAACAAGCACCACATTTCTTCTTTACCTTAAAAGCTGCAGGAACCTAGAGTGGACATGCAAAGAAGGTTAAAATGATTCTCTAGTCTTTCCTGTCTGAGATAGAAGGAACATTTCTGAAAATGTTTCTCATTGAGAACGCTCCTGCTTGTTTACTTGGAAACATGATATCAAAGAAAATACCTAATTGTTCTGATACAAATAAATACATTTAATATGAACTCATTAACACTGAAGAATGTCCACAGTTATGTGTAAGCCCAGTAACATGCTTTATAAAATCATGTTAATTTATTATACCGAGGTGTCAACATTAAGATTAAAATCCCCAGCTGCTCAATCACGTTGACAGCTGCTAAAATAAAACCAATTCTGTCACAGCAGCACTTTGAGACAGTGATCCAGGCCTTTGTTAGCACTCAGCTGGACTGCTGGACTTTATAAAGGGGTCAGTGCTTCATAGGTTACTCGTCTACAGAGGAGGCAAAATGCTGCAGCTCGTCTTGTAACTGGAACTCGAAAGTTTGAGCACATTTCTCCTATTTCAGCTCCACGTCACTGGCTGCCCATTCCTTTTAGGATT